CGGTTTATACAAGATTAAAGGTAATGACAGTTGGCATCTAACTTTATTAAAATGTTGTATAATGTTTAATATATTATACAAAAGGTTTATACAAGATTAAAGGTAATGGCAGTTAGCATCTCACTTTATTAAAATGTTGTATAATGTTTAATATAGTATACAGAATGTTTGTACAAGATTAAAGATAATGACAGTATCCATCTCACTTTATTAAAATGTTGTATAATGTTTAATATATTATACAAAAGGTTTATACAAGATTAAAGGTAATGACACTTTTCATCTCACTTTATTAAAATGTTGTATAATGTTTAATACATTATACAGAATGTTTATGCAAGATTAAAGATAATGACAGTATCCATTTCACTTTGTTCAAATGTTGTATCATGTTCAATGTATTCTATCGAATGTTCTGTACAAGATTAAAGACAATGACAGTGTTCATCTCACTTTATTCAAGTGTAATGAATGTTTAATTTATTTCACAGAATATTCCTTGCCAAGTTGAAGGTGGGGAAAATGTTTTTTTGACTTTGTTGGGATCATGCATTAAACCAACTGTAATTAGAGAAAAATTAAGTTTCTCGGTAAAAGTTAGACAGTCAGAAACTCAGTACATTAAACTGATCAACCCTATCAATGAAAGTGTGGTGATACAGCCTGTGTATACTGGCCAGTGGTGGACTGGACCCAAAGAGCTCAGTTTGACCCCTCATGGATCTGGAGAGTACCCTATTACCTATTCCCCACTGAAAATGTCAAAGGAAAGCATTCACAAAGTCAGGCTCTTAAACATTCTATATATATATTAATTTTGTAGTTGTACAGAGCCATAGGTGAAAAGAAAACTATTTACAGGCTCTTAAATATTCTATATATATAGATATATATATATAAATATTTTGTAGTTGCACAGAGCCATAGGTGAAAAGAAAACTACTTACGGGCTCTTAAATATTATAAATATATATAAATATTTTGTAGTTGCACAGAGCCATAGGTGAAAAGAAAACT